ACTGAAGCAATTAAAAATGTTAAATGTGTAAAGAAAAATGTTAATCATGTGAACAATAAATGTTTGTTACATTAAACAATTCATGTGTTTAAAAAATGTAAGTGCCATAATAAGAAAATGTTTATAGACTATAAAAAATGTTCACATAATATAGAAAAATGTTTCATACATTTAGAAAAATTTAGGTATCACTTAAAGAATGTTTCACTAGTTTCCAAAATATTTATCAGACATTGTCAAAAAAATGTATAAGATGTAAACAAATGTTTCGTACTATATAATTCTTCCATACAATTAAAAAAGGAACATGTTATTATGAAGAAAAATTAGGTCGATTCAAAACAATGTTCTCGTAGGTTGAACATGTTTATTTTCATTAAAAATGTACAACTTCTATTTGGGAAAAAATATCTTGTATTCAGAAAGTTGTTCAAAACATCTATTTGAAAAAATGTACATCATGAATTTGATAAAAGTTCAAAATGTATCTTAAAAATGTTTCACGTGTGCTAAAAAAATGTACATTGCGTACTAAAAAAGGAAAATATGTGTGAAAAATTGACAAAGAAGCAAAATAGCAAAGCAAAAAACCAGAAGAAAACCAGAGTATAACAAAGAAAACCAAAGGAAAATGACAAAACAAGGAAAATAAAAGAAAACAAGTAAGAGAAATAAAACCTAAGAAAAAAAAGAAAAGGAAAACCATAGAAAACTGTTCTACACGAACCTACAGCGAAGAAAAACCAAAAAAAACATTGAGAAGACAGAAACACTAAACCGAACTAAAGAAATAAATGGAAACTAAAGAAAACCATGGAAAAACAAATAGAAAGAAAGAGAAAAAGGAAAACTAAAGAAAACAAGGAAAACCGTACCTACATGAACCTACATCGCACAGCGAAGGAACCCCGCTACTAGGCTAGCTCGCTCGATGTCACGTGTAGGCGATTCCTATTTTTGGAATCGGGATGGCGGCATATAGCCCTGGCGGACGTTGCGGGGGAACACTATTTCGCGCATAGGTCGCTACTTGACCACCTAGCGCGTACCTTCATCACGCACCTGGTCCTCCGTTGGGCCGGCCCATTCCCGGGTTTTCCCCGTACCGGTTTTAAGAAGGTTCTACGCTTTTTGTCTAGCTCTAGTCTAGCACTTGTACCAGTCGCCTACCAGATCACGGCTTTGCTCCAATTCCACTCTTCAGTTATGTAGTCCTCTTCAAAATTGGGGCTTTTCTTCACTTCAGCACGTCCCCTCGCAATGGATTCCACTAGGTTCTTAACCTCTTCCCAATTCTAAAACTGAAACCTGCGATGTCTAATCCAACTCGGCACCTAACCAGCTTGTCAGCATCGTATGTTTGCCTCAACATTCCCCCTAGAAATACAAAATAATGTTAATCTACTTTCATTTATTTATTAGGGATGAGACTTTCTTTTGACCCTTCCTTTCCGCTCAAAACAAAATCTAGAACCTTCCCTGGACTGGGCTTATCTTTTTTTCCTTTATTTTTTCTTTGTTTTTTTCTTTGTTTTTCCCTTTCCTTTTTTGTTATTTATTTGTTTATTCCGTTTTTTATTTGATATTTTTCTTTTTATTTTATATTTCGCGAATATCTTTCTAATTTGTGAACAATTTTTGAAATTGTCAACATTTTTATGAAATTATGAACCATTTTTGCATTCATGAGCATACTTTTGAAATCATGTAAAATTTAAAATACACGAACATTTTCTGCAAATTCAAGCACATTTTTTTTTAAATCATGAACATATTTCCAATTCGTGTTACAAATTTGTGATCAATTTGTCAAATCACAAACATTTGTTTTGAAACTCGTGAGTTCTTTTTGGAACTGATGACCATTTCTCTCCATTGGTGATTTTTTATTTTGAAATGGCGAATTTTTTTTGAATCGTCAAACATTTCTTAAATTGGTGAACATTTTTTGAGTCGATGAACACTTTTTGAAAGCGGCGAACATTTGTTGAATCGATGAACATCTTTTGACTCAGCGAACATTTTTTTGAAATTCAGGAACATTTTTCAAGAACATTTTTTAATTCAGCGAACAGTTTTTGAATCAATGAACTTCTTTTGTAATTAATGATCATTTATTTTATTTTTGTGAACAGTTAAAAAAGCATGAACATTTTTGAATTCACAGACATTTTTTGAATAGGTGAATATTTTTTCAAAATCAACATTGTTTTTAACCCAGGAACATTTTATGGTTTCTGGAACACCGTTTTAATTTACTTTTAAAAAAAATAAACTTTTTGAATCCTAAATTATTTTTAGTAAAAAAAGAACAGAAAACGAAAACAAAAGACAAATAGTAAAAAAAAACAGTGGGCGTCCAACCCCGCTCATGGGACAGCTCAATAGCGCGCGTGGGGGAGAAGGGGTGCGCCATGCAAGTCTGTAATTTACTTTTATATGCACAAATTGTTTAAACAAAATTATGGGGACAAACTGTTTTTTTTTTGTGATGGAGGGGACAAACTGTTTTGTATAGGAGTATCTAACAACCAACTTAGCTTCTATTATATCTTTTAAAAAACATTGTTGTCATTGGTTTACAACCCTGTGAAAACCATCAGATAGGCAGAAGACGGAGACCACGATGCTTAGGCTATGGGCGTGGGCGACGTACCCCCGGAAAATCTGCAGAGTGAACTGGATCACTCTGCCTGGGTGCAACGGCGGTGAGCCGGTGTACTGGGGCCTTGCCTTCAGCACATGGTGCTGCTGCATCATGCCATCCACGAGGCTCAGTTATGGGCCACGGCAAGGGCGAGGAAGCTAGGGGAAATTCTAGTGTGCAAATAATTGTCATGTGGCGCCATGTGACGTGTTGTATGTGTGTCGGTTATTTATTTATTTTGACGAAAAGACAACCCTAGGGCCGAATTTTATTAATTAATCAGGTGAGGCAGAATACAAAGTCTTAGAGATAAAAAGAGGATGGAGCTGGCATCCAGAAAGAAAACACCCATCAACAAACAAGGGGGAAATCAAGGTGGTTCAAATATGTTGTCGAGCAAGCTAAGCGTAGCCCCTGACCAACATCTTGCCTCATCCATGATTCGTCCCATGAGTTGTGGAACCGAGCATATGTCAGCATTGAACACACGGCCGTTTCATTCCTTCCATATCATCCAGGAGACCAAGCAAGTGACCGACTTCCATTCTTTCATCTTATCAGCTGGGAGCAACAATAGCTGCATCATCCAATTGTTTTTGAGAAGAAGGCATTGCTGATGGGAGTTTACCGTTGGCGCTAGGTTGAGAAAAGGGCCCCCAAGCTTGTTGATGACCATCATCCAGAGCTGCTTGGAGAAATTGCAATCCGCGAGCAAATGGGTGGCCGTCTCCGGTGCAACGCAGCAGAGCGAGCAAACTGGGTTGCGTGCGATGCCCCTGATAGGCAGGTTGTCAGCCATGAGGCAGCGCTTGCGGGCAGCAAGCCAAAGGAACGTCTTGGCTTGCGGCGCCGCCCTGGTGGACCATATGAGTGCTTTATCGCCCGACCGCACAGCTCCTTCGAATTGGCATAGGCACGCCGACTTGGCGGTGTAGTTGCCATCCGCCGTCCAGCACCAAGTCACCGTGTCCTCTGCTGCGTCATTGAAACTGATACCCGCCGCCATCTCTGATAGGCAACAGAGCTGTCTGAGCACCAGAGTAGATGGATTCGGCTTGACAAGGCGCATCCATTGATTGCCTATTATTGCTTCTCGCAAAGAGAGCTGACGCTTGGTGCAGTGCTGCAATAGCTCTGGCCATCTGTCGAGGGACGCAGTCCCTCTGCCGGCGCGAGTCCCAGAAGGAGGTGGACTTGCCATCCCCAATGGAGATTTTTGTTGATGCTCGGAAGAGCTCATCGACAGAGTTGTCCGCAAGCAGGGGAAGTCATGCCATGGCTTGGAGCGGTCTGTCCAACAGAGCCATTGCCAGTGGCATCGCATCGCTCTCCCTTGCTTCTGTAAGTCTAGAATGCCGAGGACACCGAATTCCCGTGGGCGGCATACAGTGGACCAATTCACCGGGCATTTGCCAGCCTCGCCTCTTAGTCATGCGCGCAGAGAAAACCACGGCGTAATTTGTTCACCTTTTTTAAGAGCCACACAGGAGGATCCAACACCATCAGCTGGAAGATGGTCATGTGTGTCGGTTATAAAACAAACAAACTCTATTCCCTCTTAATTAAGTGATGAGGCGAATCTTATGCCTCTGCTTCGGAAAAAATAACCCTTCAGGATAGGATATAGACATGTGGCTGTTTTGGTGGGACGGGCAACTGACAAGTGGCTTATGAGAAATGCATTGATGGTTCAAAAGGCTAGGACATGGCAGATAGCACTACAACACTTTTCGGGTGTAGTTCATTGATTTTGTCTGAACTAGGTAGAAACTAGAAGCAAGTACGGTTTTGAAAACAGGCAAGCCTGCAGTAATAGCCTCAAAGTCGTCTGCGAAAAGCATTCTGGTAGATATAATTAGTGTGATGCGTCCATCCAAGCCGTCATCGGACAGTAACCTTTGGAGTGTGTATATCTGGTGAACATCAACCGGCGGCACGATCGTTTCACACGCTGAGACGCAGACCGAGATACTACTACAAAGAATTGTGTTTCAAACTCAGCTCAGCATGGTTGCTCCAGGTCACAGCGGGGTCGTTGGTATTTACACGTGCAGGGTAAAAACGAATGCTCGTCAATTGTTATCTACGTAATCAAATTCTTGCTACCTGACGAGTTTTGCTTTCTTTCTGCCGCACTATCAAGAGAAGTTTCCTTTGTTGCGATCTTCCTGTCGACTGTCAACCCGGCCAATTGGACCGAAGGAACCCTCACAGAAAAATCGGAGAGAACAAATGACAGCAACCAACAACCACCATCTTGTTGTAGCCTTTGACTTTGCCAACCCGTTTAAATTTTAAAACGAGAGCAACAAGCTACGGGGAAGTGCCAGCCTTCTCCTTTTTCACCAGAACAATGAAAGAGGCCGGCATGGTTGGCGTCCTGCCCTGCCTCCTCCTCCTCCTCCTCTTCCTGAAGCCGCGCGCCAACGCTGCCGCCGCCGCCGCCTACTCCGAGTACTCGTGCAATGGCACCACCGGCAACTACACGGCGCGCGACGCCTTCGGGGCCAACCTCGCGCGCCTCACCGCCGAGCTCCCCGCCTCCGCCTCCGCCTCTCCGTCCCTCTACGCCTCGGCGGCCATCGGCGCCTCCCCTGACAAGGTCTTCGCCCTCGCGCTCTGCCGCGGCGACATCACGGACGCCAGGACGTGCTCCGGCTGCCTGGACAACGCGTTCAGGCAGCTACGGGGGCTCTGCGCCGGCGAGAGGGACGCCACGTTCTACAACGACCTCTGCACCCTCCGCTACTCCGGCGAGGACTTCCTGGCGCGGCCGGACGACAACAACCCGGTGATCAACGGCATGGACGTGAACGGGTCGACGTACGCCGCGTGGGACAGCCGCAACGCCACGTCCCGGAGCTTCTTCCTGTCCCTGGTTGGCACGCTGTTCGGGGAGATGTCCATGTACGGCGCGTACAACTCCTCGGTGCGCCGGTTTGCCAGCGCCATCATGTACATCAACCCGCAGCTGCCCACGGTGTACGGCCTGGCGCAGTGCACGCCGGACCTCTCCCCGGGGCAGTGCTGGCACTGCTTCCTGGGCCTCCAGGAGCAGACCCGCCAGTGGTACGATGGCCGCGAGGGCGGCCGCATCGTCGGCGTCCGGTGCAATATTCGCTATGAAGGCTACCAGTTCTACGACGGCATGGCCGACGTCAGGATCGGCACACACGGTGACTCATCTTCACCAACAGAAAGCAATGGTAAGGGAGAGTGTACAGTGTACATCCTTTTTGTTTTATTTATTTCAAGAGCCATAAAAACATGAAGAGCTAGCTGTACTTAATTTGTTTAACTATTTTTGGTTTTGTAGTTATACTACTATTGTTTCATATATATTTTGCTTTGTATCGCTCAGGAAGCAAGCACAGGCGGACCCTAATAATCGTTGTATGCGTGTCCGTTACGGTGTTCTGTTCTATGTTGGTTGGCTGCCTTCTACTCATCAGAAGACTAAGAAAAGGAGCTGGTAAGGCCAAAGACAACACACTGCAAGAAAAATTTCGAGCCTTTTTCCCCACACCATTTAACCCATTAGATGCAAATATAATCAATTCAGGAAACACGAAATTAGAACAAGGTCATAAGAGGAACAACTCGAAGACAGAGGAGGCGCTGAAGCTGTGGAAGATCGAAGAGAGCAGCTCAGAGTTCACCTTGTACGACTTCCCTGAGCTCGCCGCTGCCACGGACAGTTTCTCCGAAGAGAACAAGCTCGGACAAGGCGGCTTCGGTCCGGTTTACAAGGCAAGCGGATACGCCAACTCTTTACCATGTAATGCGATTGACCAATGGATCGAACGCTAATCTTTTTGTTACCGTTGTCGTTGTGTTTCTTTTCAGGGGAAGTTTTCCGACGGGGCGGAGGTGGCGGTGAAGAGGCTGGCGGCGCAGTCCGGGCAGGGGCTTGTGGAGTTCAAGAACGAGATCCAGCTCATCGCCAAGCTGCAGCACACGAACCTCGTCAAGCTCGTGGGCTGCTGCGTGCAGGAGGAGGAGAAGATGCTGGTGTACGAGTACCTGCCCAACCGAAGCCTAGACTTCTTTATCTTCGGTATATATACACATAAATTACTACGTGCAGAAGCTTTTCTTGAGACCATCTCCAGTTCTTCCCGTGAATGCTACCAGTAGGGAAAAAGCTGATATGATATGGTAACCTTTTGCAATGCAGACCAAGAGCGAGGTCCCTTGCTGGACTGGCAGAAACGGCGGCACATAATGGAAGGGATCGCGCAGGGGCTCCTGTACCTGCACAAGCACTCCCGGGTGCGCATCATTCACCGGGACATGAAGGCCAGCAACATATTGCTGGACAAGGATCTCAACCCCAAGATCTCCGACTTCGGCATGGCCAGGATCTTCGGCTCCAACATGACGGAGGCCAACACCAACAGGGTGGTCGGCACCTAGTAAGAGAAAAAAAACTAATTAAACCCATTTTTTAACAGGCAAACCCTGATGAATATCGAATGCAATGGCGTGCTGATTGGATTATACTAATGATCCACGTTTTGTGCTGTGCCGCAGCGGTTACATGGCACCTGAGTATGCTTCCGAGGGCCTCTTCTCGGTCAAGTCTGACGTCTTCAGCTTCGGCGTGTTGCTGCTCGAGATAGTGAGCGGCAAGAGGAACAGCAGCGGCCACGGCCAGCACTACGGAGAATTCGTCAACCTCCTCGGCTACGTAAGCTTCTGCTCAATTTTTTAGTTGCATGAGTTAACAAGAACATACCACACGCTTCGGACGAACTTAGACATTTCATAAACGGTTGAACCCTAGCTTTCTTGTTCCAAGACTAAATACAAAACGAGCGGCTTATCCGTTAGCATACGGTCAAAAATGTCGCTCCTAGTGTTCACATCAGCAATGTAAGCCACTGACAGCAACTGTCTGCAGAACCCCATTAACTAATGCGCCGTATGATTTTTGGACGACAGGCATGGCAGCTGTGGAGGGATGGGAGAGCGTTCGAGCTGGTCGACCCGACGCTGGGCCACTGCAGCGAGGTGGCGGACATCATGCGGTGCGTCAAGGTGGCGCTGCTTTGCGTGCAGGACAACGCCATGGACCGGCCGACAATGACCGACGTGACGGCGATGCTGGGGAACGACGGGGTGCCGCTGCCGGACCCGAGGCGGCCGCCGCATTTCCACCTCCGGGTCACCAGCGACGATGAGGAGGACGGCGTGGGCGGGTCTGGGACGCGGACACGGTCCACGCACTTCACCGGATCCTGCAGCACCAACGACGTGACCATCAGCACCATCGAGGAAGGGAGGTGATTGCTTTCTCCTATTAGTTTGAGTGAGCCATGTGTGTGCCAAGTGTCTGTGTCTGTAGACACGCAGATGGATTGTGTAGGGTTGAGATGTTTCGAGCTGTGGCCTACTGGGATCGCTCGTCACGGTGTCGATCACCGTTGTTGTACAGATTATACGCTATTGCATAGCACAAGAGGAGCCCTAAAATTGTACGAACTATACTGTTGCCGGTGCTTTGACGAACGAAGAAGGAAAAAAGGAAATGTAGTGCTACATGATATAGACAGGATGCAAGGGAGTCGCACAGGGTTGGCTCCTGACAGCAACATATGTGTAAGACAATAGGCTTTGGAGGGAACCGGCACAACCCTCTAGGGATGGCCTATCACATATATATATATAATGAGGTGGTATACAACGTTACAATATACACATGTAAATACAGTCTAACACCCTCCCTCAATCTTAGCCACTTTCTAATGAATCTAGAAGGGTAAGATTGCGCCTGCAAGTCTCAAACTGTGGCAAAGGCAATGGCTTGGTGAAGATGTCAGCAAGTTGATCCTTGGAAGAAATAAACTTGATCTGTAGTTGCTTCTGAGAGACACGTTCACGCACAAAGTGATAGTCAACTTCAATGTGTTTCGTTCGGGCATGGAATACCGGATTTGCAGAAAGGTATGTAGCACCGATGTTATCACACCAAAGAACAGGAGACTGTGATTGGGGTATACTTAACTCCTGAAGCAAGGACTGTACCCAGATGATCTCTGATGTGGCATTGGCCACAGCCTTATACTCAGCCTCAGTACTGCTACGCGAGACAGTAGCCTGTTTTCGAGCACTCCAGGCAATTAGGTTAGAGCCAAAGAAGACAGCATAACCCCCCGTGGATCGCCTGTCATCCGGATTGCCAGCCCAGTCTGCATCAGAATATGCTGAAAGACAACCAGAGTCAGACGGCCGAATATGCAAACCATGAGCCACCGTGAAACGAATATAGCGCAAAATCCGCTTAACAGCAGATCAATGAGTGTCACGGGGTGACTGCAGATACTGGCAGACTCGGTTAACAGCATAGGAAATGTCTGGTCGCGTGATCGTCAAGTACTGGAGCCCACCAACAATACTCCTGTACTCTGTCGCATCAGAAGAAGAAAGAAGCACACCATCAACAGCATTGAGCTTATCAGTGGTAGACATGGGTGTAGTCGTCGGTTTGCACTTAAGCATCCCAGCTCGCTGCAACAAATCCAGAGAGTATTTCTTCTGCGTCATAACAAGACCAGCAGCACGAGAAGTAACCTCCACACCAAGAAAGTAATGAAGCTTCCCAAGGTCCTTGACCGCAAAATCAGCACCAAGTGAGCGAACAAGCGCAGTAGCAGCCGACTGAGAGGAGCTGACCAAAATGATATCATCTACATAGACCAACAGGTACATAGTAACCTCAGGTCTTTGAAGAAGAAACAATGAGGAGTCAGCAGTTGATGATGCAAAACCATGAGCACGAAGAGCCATTGCAAGACGAGCATGCCAAGCACGAGGAGCCTGCTTCAGACCATAAATTGCCTTGGACAGACGACAGAGATGATCAGGGCGATCCGGATCAGAGAAACCCGGAGGCTGGCGCATGTAAACCTCCTCCGCCAAGACACCATGAAGAAAAGCATTTTGAACATCAAGCTGACGAAGAAACCAACCTCGAGTAACAGCCAGAGAGAGAAGAAGTCTGATGGTAGTAGGCTTGACCACTGGACTGAAGGTGTCTTCATAGTCAAGTCCAAAACGCTGTCGAAAACCACGAGCAACCAGACGAGCCTTATAGCGCTCAATGGACCCATCAGAATGCCTCTTCACTTTGAAAACCCATTTGGAATCAATGACATTTACCCGTGATTGTGGAGGAACAAGAGTCCATGTTTGATTGCGAAGAAGCGCTTGATACTCCTGCTCCATGGCCTCTCTCCAATGAGGAATGCGCATAGCAGCTTGATACGTGCGTGGCTCAGAGGATGGATCTGCGAGAGCAGCAGACATGCACGCCGCTAACCAAGCAACTGTGCCATCGTGACGTTGCTTAGGCTGAAAAATGCCACTCCGACTGCGCGTATGTGGACGTAGAGCAGCAGCAGGAGCCGGCGGAGGCGAAGGTGACGGAGACGTGACGGTCGCCGGAGATGCAGGAATCACCTCAGGCGAGCTCGGGACAGACGACTCCGGGCTGCATGGCGAAGACTGGCCCGACGACAGGGGCTCAGAGGCCATGGGCGAACCGAGAGTGGGCGAGGCCAGCTCCGGTGACACCGGCCCAGACGGCCTTGGCGAGGCGAGAGCAGGCGAGGCCGGCCCTGGTGAGAAGGGCCCAGACACCCTGGGCGAGGCAGGGGCGGGCGAGGCCAGGCCTGGTGATGACTGCCCCGACGCCCTGGGCGAGACGGGGACCGAGGAGGCCGGCCCAGTCGGCGGGGTTGCAGGGCGCGACGATGGCGAAGGCAGCCCAGAAGCCAGAGGCGACCGGGCCAGGACGTCGATCGGTCGTGCATGAGCACGGAAACCGAGGCCATGCAGGGGCGCCATGTGCTCCTCATGCACAACAGAAGGTGCCGAGGATGAAGGCGATGGCGACGAAGAAGAAGATGGCACTTCCAGAATCTCCAAACGAGCCCCACGACCAGTGCCTGCACCATGGTTAGGCAACAATAGAGGAGAATATGCAACATCATCAAATTGGTCAGAAGCAACAGAGGATGAATGCATGACAGGTGGCTCGGTAGTGGACACAGGGAGTTTGGCAAAGGGAAAAACATGCTCATCAAACACAACATCCCGAGAGATGTAGACACGATTAGTGGGCACATGAAGACATTTGTATCCTTTATGAAGAGAGCTATAACCAAGAAAAACACACTTCTTGGAACGAAACTCGAGCTTACGCTTGTTATATGGACGGAGATGGGGCCAGCAAGCACACCCAAACACCTTGAGAAAGGTGTAGTCCGGTTGTTCATTAAGGAGAACTTCAATGGGAGTCTTCATATTCAAAACACGAGTGGGAGTACGATTGATGAGAAAACATGCAGTGGTGAAAGCATCACTCCAAAAACGAAACGGAATAAATGCATGGGCCAAAAGAGTCAGACCAGCTTCAACAATGTGACGATGCTTACGTTCTACTGAACCATTCTGCTGATGTGTATGTGGACATGCTAAACGGTGAGTGATCCCAAGCGACTGAAAGAAGGAGTTGAGGTTGCGATACTCGCCACCCCAGTCCGACTGAACATGAACAATTTTGTGCTTGAGAAGGCGTTCAACATGTTTTTGGAACTGAACAAAAATGTCAAACACATCAGATTTACGTTTGATAAGATAAAGCCAGGTAAAGCGGCTGTAAGCATCAACAAAACTGATATAGTAATTATGACCACTAACAGAAGTCTGAGCAGGACCCCATACATCTGAAAACACAAGTTCTAAAGGATGTTTCACCTCACGACTGGACTCCGAAAAAGGAAGTTGATGACTCTTCCCCTGCTGACAAGCATCACACACTGCTACATCTTTATTACTAGACACACTAGGAAGCTCATGACGACGCAAAACATGCCGGACAATAGGTGTGGCTGGGTGACCAAGACGAGCATGCCACTGTGACGGAGATACCCGAACTTCACTGAAGACGCGAGCGACGCCAGGATGCTCTAGACGATAGAGACCTTGGCAGAGCCGCCCACTAAGAAGAATGTCCCTCGTGCCCCGATCCTTAATAAAAAGATCAAAAGGATGAAATTCACAAAGCACATTATTATCACGAGTGAGTTTAGGAACTGAAAGAAGATTACGTGTCACAGATGGAACTCGAAGAACATTGCGAAGTTGAAGACTCCTATTGGCATGTCTAGTGAGAAGTGATGCTTGACCAATATGAGAGATGTGCATACCTGCTCCATTGGCGGTGTGGATCTTGTCGGAGCCATGGTAGGGTTCACGAGTGTGAAGCTTCCCCATCTCACTGGTCAGGTGCTCTGTCGCCCCAGAGTCCATGTACCAGTGGGGATCAATGGAGTAGGACTGAGTGTGTCCCTGTGGCTTCTGCGGCGGCGGACGATCAGCCATGGCGACCTGACGAGCAAAGTTGCGTGTATCCTTCCCGTCATTGCCGAGACCAAGAAAACCCCGCTGGAAGCGCTTGTGACACTTCGAGGCCCAGTGGCCATCGCGACCACAAAGCTGGCACACACGTGGACCGCCAGCCCCTGGTAGCGTCGCAGTAGGAGGAGGGGCCGAGGCGGGTGGTGGTGACTGCCCCGAAGGAGCCCTGGATGAAGCAGAGGAGCGACCACCCTTGGTGGCGGCGTTTGCCGAGAGGGCGCCGTTGCCCCTGGATCGGCGCGTCTCGACTCGTTGCTCAGTAAGCAGGAGGCGTGAAAAGACCTCGTGTGCTGGCATGGGCGTGGAGTTGCCCCTCTCATTGATGATCTCGACTAGGGCGTCATACTCCTCATCAAGACCATTGACAATAAACGAGTTGAACTCGGAGTCGGTGAGGGGCTGTCCAATGGAGGCCAGCGTGTCGGCGAGACTCTTGACTTTGTTGTAGAACTCAGTGGCGGTGGAGTCAAGCTTCTGACACTCCCCAAGTTGGCGACGGAGCCCAGATACACGAGCCTGCGACTGTGCCGCAAATGAGCGCTCAAGAATAGTCCATGCCTCGTGGGACGTCTTGGCGAAGACAACAAGCCCAGCAACGGCCGGAGAGAGCGACCCCTGGATGGAGGAGAGGTTCGCCTGATCCTGCCCTGTCCAGACACGGTGAGCCGGATTATAGACCGGACCGTGCACGTTGTCAACCAGCGCAGGAGGGCAAGGGAGAGAGCCGTCGACATAGCCAAGCAGATAGTGACTCCCAAGAAGCGGAAGAACCTGCGCGCGCCAGAAGATGTAATTGTCCGACGACAACTTGATGGTGATGAGATGGCCGAAGTGAAACGGCGGCGGCGGCTGCGATCCCATCGAGG